CTTCCTCAGTCACATGGCAGTGGCAACTTCTCAGCCACAGAGTCCTTGTGAAGACTGAAAGTGATAATAATGCATGAAAATGCAACTGACAAATGAGAACTGTGGGTTAGCAGTAGCAGCTCATTTCACCCCTACATGAACAGACTCCTGGGAAAAGAGCAAAACAGCTCCCCCAGGAAGCTCCCTTCTCTGAATTCTGTGCAGCCACTGCAAGATGACACACAGTCTTGCATTTGATTACTGTGTAGCTTTGCCTAAGATTATCTTGCAGCTCACCAAGATTCAAAGTTTCTCCTGGAGCCACAGAATCTTGTACAGAGCTAAAGGTAGTGGCAGCTAAATTACACTTAACACCATAGAAAGGGTTCCAGGTCTCTGAGTGCACAAACTCACTTAAAGCCAAGGGTCTCAGTTTAACTCCGGTTTTAAGAGAAAGATTTTTCTTTTCTTGTTTGTTAAAAAGGCTTTAAACCAACAAGAAACTCTAAAGATAAAACATTCAGCAATGTTAATTTTCAACGCCATATGTTTCTCTCCAGCTGCTCAAGGTCATACCTCCCCACTGAATGATTAGAGGGTTGCTGATATGGTACATGGGGGGAACATACACACATACACACTCACTCTTGCTCTCGCTCTCTCTCTCTTTCTCTCTCTCTCTCTGTCATATGAAGTCCAACCTCTAATAGAAAGAGCGAACAGTTCAGATCCCAGCCAGCCATGACAAAGGACTGACAAACCAAACAGACAGGAGCCCTTGAGCATCTGTGAAATCTGTCTGTTCCTCTGCCTCCTCCGAGAAACGAATCACAAGACTGCTCAGAATAAGAAACCAAAAGGGCAGAGGCTCAGAAAGCAGCCGGGCCTGAACTGCATGCTGTTTCCAAAGAGTGAGCTCTCATACTGTGTTGGTTTTCTGCACAGTGGGCAAGCAGGCTGACAGCTTGAGGGGGCTATTTTAGGGGGATATATGCTGCAAGTCTGGCTTAGAGAGGGCCCTAGGTTCTGCACTCCCAGTAGGCATTTCAGCTCCCAGGCAGAACACGGATCCCCACAGGGGTTAAGAGCCCAACGCTAGCACAGCGTTTGCAACATCCCGAGGGGATCCCACACCTCAACACTCAGCTAAAACCTAGGGGAGGTGAGAGAGGAGACAGAGGAGTGGGAGGGGGCCCTCTACACCCGTTACTACTGGCTGCGCTTCCAGAGAGGCTGATCCAGGAAGCTAAATACACTGAAAAACAGAAGGAAGGGGCTGGGAAGACTAGAACAGCCTGAAGAATGGCTAGGATTTCCATCCTTAACTATAGAATTGTTGCTTTTAGGGCTGGCACAGGATCTAGCACTGCTCCCTCCCTTTCCCTCCTCCGCCCCTCATCTGGACACCAAATATCTCCTACTGTGTGCACTCCCCTTGTGGTGGTGCTGGGGGGATGTGGCAGCTTGGAATACTATTCATAATGGTCCCCAGTGTCTACCTCCCTTACACACAGGGAATCTGGAAAGGTTTCTGGGTCATCAGAATTATCTCTTTCTGATTAAAAAAAAAAAAAAACTCTAGCACAAGCAATACATATTTGCATACAATACCCAGTTACACACACACATCTACATACCTGCACCTTTCCACAAAATACACATTTCTGTACATACACATATACCTGTTTTTACAGTAGGTGCAAGGCAGGCAGCCTCTATCAAATCTAGAATTCTGTGCTTTCCTCATCTGATTCCAGCAGCAAAAGCTATTTGGATTATAAATTCTCGGTTATAAAGCCTGATTAGAGATCAAAATGCCACCTGCTTGCTTTCCTCCCCACCCCACTCTACCCACCCAGTGAGATTTGTTAATAAATGGGGAAACAAAGATGGAAGAGAGATCCAGGCTGCATTCTTTGCAAGAGGGAGCACACACTTGTCGGAGCATTTTAGATACTGTGCTCCGGTAAACCCTGGCAGGCTGATCCTCTTTGCTTTCAGAGTGGCTGGGGTGCAGCTCTCAGCCTGTTAATAAACACATCTATCTTCCTTCTCACTGGTAGGCGCAAGCACTTTCTCTGACCAAACCCATGCTTCTGCATCTATGTTTAGCCCCCATAAATCATATTCCATTGTTTTGGGGAAATCTGAATTCAAGTTTAACAAGCCATAAACCTCATCTCTCCACCCCCAACCACTCTAAATTTCCCTCAGGGAGTTAAAAGGCAAGCTCCCACACGTGACAGAAAAACAAAACGGGGTAAAAAAAAAAAATACCGACAAATAACCATGAATGTCTTCGTTTAAAGGGCCTGTGATTCTTCAGTCAGGTGTGAACTCAATGGACATCACAGGAAGCAGAATTTGAACCTAACGCTAAATGACACACGATCTTGCTCTTCATGACCATAAGTGCTGCGGTGGCTAGACTAAAGGGCTCTGCTGCAGAATTTCTCCCACTTCAAGGTTATTAAGAAAGATAAGATTGACTTAAAATTTATTTCAATGTGCTCACCCTTCTTACACCAGCACATTCAGGATTCTTATTCGTAACTAGGCTTGACCTAGCACAAGTTCTCTATTTTGCCCTTAGACGCGGAGAGGGACCTGCTGTGCTCTCCCAGTTGGACCTGTATCTCAAATGTTCTGAGATCGAAATTAGATCACAGATGCTCACGGCATAAAGTCTGCCAAACCAGGTCCATAGACTGGTACAGTTCTTAAAGAGACAATACGGAAAACAGCTGTCTAGGGCTGGGTGGCTTTAATGACATCCTGGAAAATATAGCACAGTATAAAAGGACTACACAGAGTGAATGATTTTGGAAATTCCCCAGTTCTTAACTACAGCCCCAAATGCGAATGCTTTAAAACACAGCTAACTGACTTTGCAAGCCCAGCTTTAGCTCCGGGCATCCACAACACAGCCTGCCAGAGGTCTGCAGACCACTCCCTTCTGAGAGAGTCCAGCTAACCCTACCGGCCTCCCAGCAGGCTGCAGCACAATGCCCATATCCAAGTCCAGGCACCAGCTGGAGATCCCTTGGGCCTGCCTTCCCATGTGCCGTGTTCCTGACTGGTTGAACAATAATCAGAGAAGGCCACAGGAAAAGCCGCATCATGCCCATCGCGGCCACTCCCTGGCCCTCATCAAGACCGGTTGCGCGCACTTCTACGGAAGAACATAGCGTGCAGAAACACGGGCCTGCAACAGAAGGCCATGGAACAAGAAATACCAGCATGAGAGGACGGCTGGAAACGGCTGGTCTGCAGCTTTCAAAGAAGGCAGAGGTTGCAGAACTTCTGCAGAGGAAGGAGTAATATTTTATCAGTCAACTCCCACAAAAACAGGCAGCGAAGAGGAATGGGGCAGCCGCAGCTGCCAGCACCCCAGCCACCGTCTCCAGGTACTCAGGGCTTGCCTGTGACCACAGCGGTAGGCAGGACACACCTGAAAGTACCTTCTGGAGGAAAAGCAGGCACCTTAACGCTGCCCGATCGGTCCCTTCACGCCTCCCCATTCTTACGAAATCTGGAATGGCGCGGTCAGGGAAAGTTTCTAGATTAGGGAGAAAACTAAGCCGTGTCGAGACGCCGCGGGTGGTCTCTCCCTCAGCTCTCACTGGGCCAGCTGCTACCTGCCTCGCCCCTGTCACCTGCTGTAAGGCTCACTCTTGAGCTCTCAGTGAAAAACGTCTCCCCCTGCCTCCATCAGCCACTCCGGGCTTTCAGAAAAGCCCCCTTTCCCGCCCCGCAACTAGGAAAACCTAACTTCAATGCACCCCTAAAGTCCGACCTACAGGTGTGACGGGCTTCCAGTGCAGGGGTAGGGTACTCCCAGGAAGTGAAGGAAAAGGCCCCCGACGTCGTTGTCACTGGAAAAGTGCTAGCCACGGCCTCCGCCTCGCCCTCTCCACCCACGGGTTCGGAGCCCCCAGGCGCAGTCAGAACAATCCTAGCTCCTGCAGCTTCGTTTGTTTCCGGAGAGACACGAACAAGCCAGCCCACGGAGCGTCTGGACTTGCCCGCCTCAGCACCCACGCCTCCCCCGGGCCAGGTTCCAGCGCCGCCTCCGACACCCACCCGCGGGCCGCCTCTTACCGCCGGTGTCCTCGAAGTGCGGGGGCGGGCGATCCCGCAGCGCAGCGCTCCAGCCTGCGCCGGCCTCGTCCTCCTCCGGCTCCTGCGCGTCCGGGGCACAGGGTGGCGGCGGGGCGGCCCCTGCGGGTCCCGGGGGCTCGCGCTCGTCGTCCGAGGAGGCGGCCGAGGAGGAGCGCGAAGCGGCCGACGTGCTGTAGAAGGGGTTCCCGCCGCTGTCCGGCCCGGACTCGCCGAACACGTCGTCCGAGATGTGCAGGCTCTCGTAGCGCGCGCGGGCAGCCTCGAGCAGCGCCGGCGCCCTCCTCCGCGCGCCCCCGCCGCCCTCGGCCATGGCCCCGGCCGCCGCCCGCGCGCCCGCTCCCCACAGCGCCTCCCAGCCGCACGCGCCGGGCCCCGGGCCCGCGCCGCGGCCCGCCGCCCCCCACCAGCGCAGCCCGCAGCACAGCGCCCGCCGCCCCGCGCCCGGCCGGCCCGCCGTCTTGGCCGCCTCGGGCCCAGCGCCCGGGGAAGCGCCCTCGGAGCTCGGGCACCGCAGGCTGCGGGCCGCGGCGGGAGGCGAGCCGCGCGCGCGGGGGTGGCAGGGGCGACCCAGCGCGGGCGGGACGCAGAGGCTGCGGCTGAGACCAGGCGCCGCCGCCGCCGCCGCCACCACCACAGCCGCCGCTGCGTCTCCTCGGCGCTCACCGCGTCCCTACGCGCCCTCCCCGCAGCCCACGGCACTCGGCTGCCGACCTTCCCCGGCGCGAGCCGCCAGAGGCGGGCCCCGCCTCCTCGCACCTCCCGCCCGCCGGCCAATGGGGAGCGCGGCCCGGAAGGCCGCGGGGGTGCTGGGCGGGCCCGGCGCGTTAACGCCTCCACCCTCCTCGGCGGGGCGGGGCGGGGCGGGGCGCGCGGCCGGGGCTGGCGAGAAGGGGGAGGGCCGCCGGCGGCCTGGCGGTTCTCCTCCTGCAGGGACGCGCAGCCCGGGACCGCCACTAGCAGTGCGGGGTGGGGAGGGCGGGGCCGGGGGACAGGAGGGGAGGCGCCCGGGCGCTTTCAACGGTCCAGGTCTGCGGATGGAGCGGGGACCCACCCGCTCACTGTCCCCTTCCGCAGTCAGCGCCTGGCGCCAGGGAGCTGTCCGCCCCGGTGGTTCTGAACCAGGCGCTGCTGAAACGCTCCAGGTAGGCTATGGGCCCGACACTCCTGCGGCGGCTGCTGCCGAAGCTTCCCGTGGGTCACTGCCAGCTGCTCCGCATGCTCCCATAAATACAGAGGCTGTCCAGCTTCCGGGAATCTCGTTCTAATTAGGAGTCGGCCTTGCGGATCCACTGCTGGGGTCAGATGCTAACTCCGTCTCGCTTCAGTATCCTTGTAATTTAAGGGTGCCAGCAATGGAGTAAAGTAGGTAGTCATTCGTCATCATCTTTGACGCGTGGCATCTTTTGAACTCAAAATATCCATTACTTCCAAATATCGATTACTCTCACACCTCTATTTGAACATCTCCTTCATACACACACTCGAAACACTCATCTAGTAAAATATTGCATGATCACCCAGGCTTCAGTGCTCTCATAAACAATAGCATCGAAGGGTTACATCCACCCCTCTTCCTTTTGCAGGAATGTGTGGTGGTCATCCTGTTGATGGCGATACATGTAACGGAGATTGCCTTGTCTTCTTGCTCTCCTCCTCCTCCCTTGAATAATGCAATAAGTCACGCTAATGGTAAATGGGCCATAAAGTCACTTTCATTCTGAAATAAAATAAATCCTCGAAGATGTGAAGGGCTTACAAATCCTAATGGGCATTAACTAAATTATAGTTACACAAAACAGAAAGGCATGTTGCGATTTCTATGAATACATAACGGGTGAAGGACCATTTTGCCGCCAAGTGGGGTCAGACCTAGTGTCTAACAGGAACCTTCACTCATGCCCTCCCCTCCCCAGCCCCTGTGGTTCCTCCTTCCAAATCAGGGGCTCTGCACAGGCATGAATTCATGATAATCACCAACAGACACTATATAAAAAGGAAAGGATTCATGGAACATTGCTTGCTATGTGGATTGGCTGAAAAATGAAGAAGTGCTTGCAAAGCATTTCGACTTCCTTGGAAGAATTATGCCACAAAAAATATCTGGTTTCCAACATACCTATATACTGTGGTAGCCAGCTGAAAGATTTTGAAGAGGGTACAGGTAATCAGACTTATCAAAAAGGGTTATAGGCCGGGCGCGGTGGCTCACGCCTGTAATTCCAGCACTTCGGGAGACCGAGGCGGGTGGATCATGAGGTCAAGAGATCGAGACCATCCTGGTCAACATGCTGAAACCCCGTCTCTACTAAAAATACAAAAAATTAGCTGGGCATGGTGGCGCGTGCCTGTAATCCCAGCTACTCAGGAGGCTGAGGCAGGAGAAATGCCTGAATCCAGGAGGCGGAGATTGCGGTGAGACGAGACCGCGCCATTGCACTCCGGCCTGGGTAACAAGAGAGAAACTCTGTCTCAAAAAAAAAAAAAAAAAAAAAAAGGGGGAGGGGGCGGTTATAGTAAAGCACAGGTTGAAGATGCAAGAAGCAGAATAAGACTCCATAGCTCAAAAGTCTGGAATTAGGAATTGTGTGAGGCCCCTACAAGATTTCGTGTTATCTATTTAAAATAGTTGAATGGAAAAAATAATTGAATGGGATCCAGAGAGTTAAAATCTGTTGGAAAGAGTTCCTTCTTTCCTTCTCCAGCTAGCCAGTGAAAAAGTCAACAGCTAAGGTGTATGTTTTAAAAACAATGAATTGCTTTGCTACCCATAAGGAAGCAAGGAACAAAGTAACAGCAGTTACAAGGATGAAAGAAGTCTTCCAGTGTCCCTAATTTGCATTTGCATGGTCCTAATCCCCAGGAAATCTTGGGGACTTGTGATTCCTAGGCTCACAAATGCTTGTAGCTCACATTGCATGCAACATTGAGGAGAGTTGGTCACAAAAGAAACACTGAGAAATCAAATTGTTATTTCAAAGCTTGTCCAATAAAAATTAGATCAGTGTTTCAACCTAGAGTGAAGTATTTAATATGTTACTGTGTTTAAGCCAGTGTTTCCAAACAAGAAAACAATATTCCAACCTTTGAAAACAGGTGACTGCTTCTCACTGTGATAAGAGGAGGGGTGAGGGGATACAACAATTGGAAAAGAAAAAAACTTTCTACTTTGGCTGGCATCCTCCTACTTGATAATCACCGTTATGATTCTACATCATTAACTTTTATTAGTAACATTATTTGTGAGAATAATTATAGTATCAATATCACGCTGAGAACTTTTAACTTTGAGTCTTTTGAAAACATCTTCCAAATAATTTAATTATGAAATATAATTAAATAATTTTAGATGAATATTGAGCTTTTGGTTTTATGGTTTTCCCAAAGAGCTCAAGGTAGTAAAAAGCAATTCATTTGTGTAGTAGAGTCCTTAGGTTTTGTTAAACCAATGGTTCATGTTTTTATGTAACTAGGGCTAATCACCATATTTCATTAAGTCTAAATAAACTTCCTTTCACGGCACAGTGCACCATTGTTTTATGTATCACTAAAAAACAAAAAAGTGCTGCCATAGGAAACTATGATACAATGGTTTCTTTTCTGTTCTAATTTTAATTTAAACTTATTGATAAAGATATTTGATAATAATTTTTGGACAGATTTTTGTTATATATCACTCTAATGCATGCATAAAGATAAAATACAAATTAACTGGTTAAAGTTTCCCTAATTTCACATTCAGAATCTCTTTATCCTTGCTTACTTTCTAACTCAGAGTTGTCAATGCCCAGGTTTTCTCCACAACATGCTTCTCCAAGTCACTCAGAGCATTTGGTATGCTGCATTTCTTATATAAGTGCTCCTAACTCCTCTAAGCTACTGGCCTCCCATTGTATGTGTTCCCAAAGCAGGAGCACAGCAGCTATGGTCAGTCAGCACTGAGGAGGCCGATGAGAGAGCTGAGAGAGAAGTGGTAGCAGATGAAATCAAAGGAGGTTGGGTGGGTGTTAAATCTTGCAAGACTTTGAATTTTATTTGGGGTGATATGGGAAGCCACTGGAGAGCATAGAGCAGAGAAATAAGATCTTGATGCTGGTGTTTTGTTTGTTTTGTTTTGTTTTCCCTGATCCAAGGTTTTCATACTATAACTAGATTTAATTTCCTCCTTCCAGTGGTTCTCAGAAGGCCTGTGGCCTGGCACAGCAAGGGATACATGAGGTCAGGCACACCCTAGGAATAGCAATGAAGTTGGCATAGGCTCAGGCTCTGTTAAGTGCATAGGGATTTTCACTTTCCCAGCACCAACTATAAGACATTCCTGATGTTAGAGATGTAAAATGTGAAAAAAAGGAAGAGGGCATCTTAGAGGCCATAGAATACAGTATATATTTTTCCTTGGTAGTTTTACAAGTCTTGATTTTGCAAATAGTCAAGCTGTTGCAGGACACAGAAATGAACATGAAAGCTAACGTGCAGAGAACGCCTTGGCCAGCCCCAGACTGCACAGGCCAGATGAGGCTTGGGAAGTCTGCGTGTTGCGGGTCACTATAGATGGAGAAGGCAGGGATGGAGTTAGTGAAGCTGCTGCTTCTCCCCATGTTGTCCTCATCACACAAAAGGAGGGGGCTACAACGAAGGAGAAGCTCCTGGGACTGAGAGCGTAGGGGGAGAAAGAGTACAGCTGCTGGACAGTGGGCCACATGTGGGGAAGGAGGTCACAGGAGAATATGCATGGCACAGGGTGACATTTGGGCTCATATGTAACACAGGGACCTAAGGGTCCAACCTCTCTCACAGTGCTTTTATGTGTAAATTTATCCAGGATCCAACACAGAGAGGCAGAAAAAAGGAAATAGGATAATCCTGTGGAAGACTCTCGAGAAAATTCCCTTGTATTCAGATTGAGATGATCTAACTTTTTCATTGACTCATTCATTCATTCACTCACTAATTCAACAACTATCTATTGAGTCCTATTATGTGACAGGTTCTCTTCTAGGCACTGGGAATAAACTAGAGAAAAAGAATGAAGACTCTGTTTCTGTAGCACTTATGTTCAAACGGGGAGGGAGAGAAGAGACAAAAAATATATAACCCAGTAAATATGTATATACCTGTTGTTGATAAAGGATAAAAAGTAGAGGGACAGAGACTGGTGGTTGTTGTGATTGTGGTGCTGTGTGTGTGTGTGTGTGTGTGTGTGTGTGTGCATGCACAAGCTTGTATACATTGGTTGGGAGAAGTTGCTCTGATAAGGTGACATTTGGGAGAAACTTGAATGGATTAAAGAAGCAAGCCATATGCATTCAAGGACCAGAAACAAGTGCAAAGCACCCAAAGCAGGAGCACGCTAGCTGTGGTCAGTCCGCACTGAGGAGGCAGACGTGGTTGAGACAGAGATGAGAGAGAAATGGCAGCAGATGAAATAAAAAATTTGGGTGTTAAATCTTGCAGGACTTTGGATTTTATTTTGGGTGAAATGGGTAGCCACTGGAGAGCACAAAGCAGAGAAGTAAGATCTGACTTGCATTTTAAGGGCCTCACTTTAGCTTCTTAGAGGCAAATAGACTGAAGCGAGGAAAAGTGGAATCAGGAAGACCAGTTAGGATACTATTGCAATAGTCCAGCCATAAAACAGGGTGTTTGGGACCAGACTGGTAGTGAAGGAAGTGATGAGAATTGGTCAGATCAGAATATGTCTTGAAGGTAGAACACACAACTTTTATGAAAGAATTAAATGTGGACAGTGAGAGAAAGACATGAGTTGAGAAGGACTCCATTTGGGCTTTGCTGTCGTTGTTTGCATGAGCTACTGCAAGAGCAGCAGGATTAAAGGGGAGGAACAATAGCTTGGTTTTCAGCATGTAGAGTTTTACACATCTGAGTGGGTCTGGAAAGCAGGTAGTTGAAAACAGGAACCTAGCATTCAACCAGGTCTAGGCTGGAGATAAAATTGGTGAGTGCCATCAGCAGAGAGATGGTAGATACATCTTGGTTGTTGTTGTTCTTGTTGTTTTGAGACAGTCTCACTCTGTCGCCCAGGCTGGAGTGCAGTGGTGCAATCTCAGCTCACTGCAACCTCTGCCTCCCGGGTTCAAGCAATTCTCTTGCCTTAGCCTCTTGAGTAGCTGTGATTACAGGCACC